TTATCATGTTGGCCACCTGCCTGTCATAGAAAAATCGCTTCCTCCTTCCTGGTCGGGAGGCAGCTCTAATGAGCGATGGGCAGCCACGTTCACAACCGCGGCAGCTCTTTGCATAGAAAACAGGCAGCCTCAGCGACCCACATGCCGTGCCCCCCCCCTTCCTCCCTCCTCCATGTGGCAGGAGGTCCTACCTCCTGCTAATTGCTCAGCCAAGTAATTAGCTGAGGCAGATTTTGGCTCTCGGCTAGGCTAGCGGGGCTGCCACCCTGCTCTGCCCACAGCAGACCCCTGGGCAGACCAGCTATGAGGGTCTGAAACCCCAGTTTGCATCACCTGCACTCACCGCTCCCGCCTGGCTCCAGCTGTGCCTGCCTTTGCTGCTCATCTCCATCGCCCAAGGGACCGCGCCGCTGGGGACCAGAGAGCTGGCAACGACTTCCCTGCCTGCCTGTCCCATCCAACAGGCACCAGTCCAGCCCTACCAGTGCCCCTCAGACCGAGAGATACACCACAGGCAGGGCAAAGAGCCCATCTACCCCTGTCCTGGAAAAGGAGCCCAGCAGTGGTAACTCTGACACCCCCGAGGGCACGGGGCAGCCAGGATGTCTAAGTCACTGCTAGGGAACTCTTTTGACACCCCATCACAAAGATGCTGTCTCACACACTACCCAGGAAACGTCCCAGATACGACACTCGGTAGGGAGGAAAACGCTGCAGCCTTAATCCTTCCTTTCCCTCTCGAAGCACGGCAATGCACGGAGGGAGAACCGAGCACGTGGGAACCAGCCAGCCGCCCCCCAGCCCCGCACGTCCCCAGCGCCATCTGCACCTCTCCCTGCAGAACGGCCTTCCCCTGGCCCCCAGCCCGCGGCCGCTGCCCACGCAGGGCAGGTCGCCCCGGGAAGCTCTCCTTCCTCTCCTTTGGCCTGCTGTATCTTGGTGTTTCTCTCCAACCTGGCCCCTCCAACCCTCGCTGCTTGGAAACCCCGTGAGTGCGGCCCAACGCTCTTTACAGCCTTTCGGATCACCCTTCCAGGTACAATACTTCCGGCCCTTCACTTTGTAGGCCAGCACCTTGCAGCCATTAATAATTTTTGTGGCCTCTTCCTGAAGCCCCCTATAGTTTACTGGCATCTGTCCTGAAACACATGAAGGCCCAACCAACTGCAAGATCCATCACACTGCGATCTCCCGTCTCACGTGCTTGGGACTCCCTTTGTCCCTGCCGGCTCTCTTTATGACCTTTGATTTGCTTCATTGCAAATCAAGTCCTTTATACTAATTAAAAGAAGGCGCTTGGTTCCCTGCACAGAAGAAAAGAAGTACAACCATACTGCAGAAGAGGAAGGGGGAAGAGTCCCACTTTTAGCACTCTGCAAAACATGTTGCTGCTCCAACCAGTAACTCGGCGCCAGGCCCCCACGCACTCACCTGCATGGAAGTACGGGCTCATCGTGTAAGGGAATCCGAAGGGCAGCGGCTGAGGTGGTGGGATGGAGGCTGGCGGGAGGTATTTCACCTCATTTTTGTTGATGCCTGGGCCAAGCAAATGGCTGGGGGACTCGGCGCTCGAGGAGCTGCAGGGGGCATTTTGGCCAGAAGCCGCTTCACCCAGCTCCTTGGCCCCTTCGCAGACTTTCCCCGTCTCTTTGCACTCTTTCAGCTCAGCGGCCGAGCTGCTGCTCTCAGCCTTCAGGCTCTCCGGCTTCTCATCGCTCACATCCGCGTCGCTCTCAGAGTCCTTCATCTCCTCATCGTTACAGTCTGGCACCCCGTCCCGCGCCCGGGGCTCCGCCAGCTCCTTGGCCTCGCTCAGCCCCTGCGGCTCGGCGCGGTGGTGTGCCGATTTCCGACTGCCCCGCCGGGGCTGCTCCTTGGGCGGCGTGGCACTGCTGGGGACGCTGGGGTTGAGGGAGAGCAGCGGAGTGTTGTTGTGCCGCAGCACCAGCATGGCGTTCCTCCGGGAGAGCTCCTCCCGCAGCGGGTGGCCCTCGGGGATGTCGTGCACGTTGCGCAGGGCCGGGTGGTCTGGGGGCAAGCCGGGATGCAGGCTCAGCGGGTCACCAGCCAGTAGCCTTTGCCTGTGGAGATTCTCCAGCTCCTTCTGGCGGATGATCTCAGCCGACATCTCCAACCTAAATTGGGAGAGGCAGAGAGGGAACGTCGAGGCGGGTGCTCTGCGCGTAACTTGCTACCCTCCCAGCCACGCTGAACCAGAGCATGCGGGATCAAGGCGTCACCTCCACACCCACACGTGGATTCCATGGGTCTCACCCGGACACCGCTCTGTTGCCTCTGCACAGCTCACCCAACACAGCACCCCCCATTAGCCTGCTGCCAGGAAAGGGAAGGAAAAACCCAACCCCAGCACAGGCAGGTGAGTCCTCTGCACTCTTTACCTTGCCAGGTTTTGCTTTCGTAGCATCTCTTGCTGCCGTGCAAACATCTCTGCTTGTGCCGGCTGTAGGAACCCGTAACCTGGGGACAGGGAGAACAATATGGGGTTATTAATCTCAGCATTGACTCTTTGTTCACTCAGGGCCGGCTCCCCAGAGGGCTAACTGAGCAGGAAAGGGCAACTGAGAGCTGCCTTTCTGTTCTAGAGCCCATCTACGCCCTCACTCCCGAGGCAGTGCAGCCTGCTGCCGAAACATGGGACCGGGGAGGCCGGCGGGGATTCAAAGAGAGAGCAGCCAAAGCGACCTGCTCCTATCACTGCAAAACGAGGGTGAGGTCAGCACAACAGCAACAGGGAAACACAGAAAATGTGTCTGGGCTGTTTGGCCAAAGGACAAGTTCGTCACAGCCTGCACCTTCCCGCTGACCGCAAGCATTTCTTACGCACTCACCTGGTGTCTGGCACAGAGCCGAAGGCACCCCGAGGAAAGGAGGTCTCAAGTGGGGGCCCAGGGCAATATGGGGCGCATTCTGGGGTGAAAGCAGAGGCGGCGGGTGGGATATCTCCCTGCAGAAATCAGAAAATAAATTCATGTTGAAAACTCGGAGGCTCCATCCACAGCACCCAGAGGGCCCTGGCTCGGGAAGAACATCCTCTCTGCAGATAACCCGTGTTCTGTACCGGCGGCTGTTCTGAGACAGAAAGATTCGCCCATACACAAAACTTTTAAAAGGGAGAGGAAAAAAGAAAAGAAGCAGAACCAGAAGGGCAAGAAAGCAGCCAGGACTCCATAGGTCCCACATACTTCCCAGTTTGATACGTTTGCTTCCGTGGCCTTTCAGCTGGGCTGTTCAAAGGGCTGTTGGCTGCCCAGGGCTAGCAAAGGCAAGGCTGACCACGCTGCATCTGCCTGTCCCCTTAGCAAGCTTGGGCTTCTGTTTCAACTACCTTACAACTGAAAAGGCATTCTGTATTTTGGGAGCTGGAGAGCGGGTCTGGGAAGATCTGAGGGCATCACTGGCATGCCTTGCAAAAATCACTGTCCCAGCTGGGATGAGAGGCGATCTTTAATTCTGGAGAGAAAAGCTCTAAGTGTGGACGAGAAAAGACACAGACAGGAGACTTGGGGGGAGGGACGTGAGCAGGAAGTGCCACGGGGTCAGTGGAAGGGAGTTTGACTGGCAAAGGGGTGGGTGATGCTGGCCAGAATGGGTAGAGCAGACGTAAGGTGACAAGTAAGCTGGAAGAGGCAGGTTTGAGGGGTGGAGAAAGAGGACAATGCCTGGAAGCAAGGCAGGTAGCGCTTGCTTTCTTCTGGGGGGGTGGGAGGGATGGGAAGAAAAAAGAAAAAAAAAAAAGGCAGGAAGGGAATAAAAGCCAAGGTCTCTTCCATTAGTCAAATCCGCCCTGGGAGCCTGCAAGCAAATCTCTGCTTTCCGGCTACACGTCTCTTAATTCCTTTTGATGGCCACTTACAACATTATTACCTTCACCAGGGCATCTAGAGGCAAAGCCAAGCGCTGTGCCGTTCATTTTCATTTTACAGTATCTCCCTATAAAATCTGCTTCAGGAGAGACTGGAGGGCAAGAGAAAGGGAGCAAGAAGGTGCACGTGACTTTGCAACAAACAGACCGTACGCACAACCGTGCTCCCCCTTTCAGTGGGGGGATGACGGGCGAGTGTGGGCTAAGGTGAGAACCCGAGCCATCCACGCCCTCATCCCACACCGCTGGGGACGGCTTACCACCACGGCTCACGAAAAGCCAGACAAGGTCTCTTTGGGGATGAGGTGGGCAAGGAAAGGATTCCTGTCCTTTCCCTAGATTTTCCCAGGGTAGTTTTACCCTTATTCGATGCAACAGCCACTGCAAAACACTGCCACACGCTGATCCACAGCGCAGAACGGGATCTCCCCCCTTCAAAATTCCTCCTTCTCCCTACCCCTCGCCCATCTGCCTGTCCCTGCCTCCCCCCTTCCCGTCTGTCTCTGCTCCCCTTCTCCCCTTCCCCTGGCTGTCTCCGTCTCTCCTTTCCTCCTCCTTCCTCCCCTAGCTCTCCTCTAAACTAATTGCACAGCTCGCTGTGTCTGGAGGAGAGCCACAGATCGATCCGTCGCTGTTGAAATGTTAATGCTAATCGTATAACCGCTCCGCCAGCACCTCGCACTTCAGTGGCAGCTCCAATTAATCTCAGGTAACGCAGCGCGCGACCTTCGGCTCAGAGCCGGGGCAGCAGCCAAGCGATGCTCATGTAATTACACCATGAAGTGTGTAATCACCTGCCCTAATCCCCGAGGCCTCACAATTAGCCGAGGCCTCGGTCGCTGGGCTGCCAAGTGCTTTGCCACCCCGGACAGCCTGCAGATGAATAACGGACAATTAAAGCGGCATGACGGGGGCTAGGAGGTGTCCGTTCGATCGTAATTAGCTGTAATCATGGGGAGACGAGCCTGGCAGACGTGCTGTTCGTTTTATAAGAAGCAATTTAGGAAATCAAGTCGCTTTTAACCATTCCATGGCCAAGCAGGCAGCGGCCATGCCCTCCCTGTCTTTTATAAACACAGAAAAGGGGATCCTGTACGGGAGATAACAACGCACAGAAGCCGCAGGTGCAGGCTGCACGCAGAGAGCTCAGAAGGAAATGTTAAAAACAAAGAGAGCTCCTAGATTTTAGCCAAGACGAGACAAACCGTGCCCAGGAAGCATACTGTTTGATGGGGACTGGAACTGGGCACTGGAAAATAAAAGGTTCTCCCTTTGGTGGCAGCCCAATGTTAATCAGAAGCTATTTTTATGCTTTAATGTTGCACTACAGGGCCTAACTTTGATCCCGAAGGAATTCACATCTGCTCGAGACCCTGAAGTTCATTCCCTCCGTCCTCTCATCAGAGCCGTGCAGCTTCCCTGCCTTTCGGGGCGAGGGATCAGCTCACCCTTTGGGCTGGCCAGGGAGAGGTGGGAAGGGGAAGGGGGGGGTGGCAGGATGAAGGAATTGCTGCGGGACCTGATCACGCTGCCACACACACGGCCGAGCACAGCAGCCTGCGGTGGCTTGGAAGGGGCTGCAAGAAATGCATCAGGAATGACTTCGCACGCGAGAGGTCCGTCGCTGCTTATGTTACACACACAGCACACGCTGAGGATGAGCCCAAAGGTTTAGAAAATTCAGGGAGACACATTTACACACACTGTCACCATGTCTGCCTGACGCAGCAGACGGCACAGAGAGCCCCAGAGTTGTTCTCTCAGCGATGCTGGAGCTCTCCACCAAAGGTGTGTAAGGCAAAGCTGCTGGGTGAAGCCGGATAAACAGGACCAGCCAAGGGTCCCGCGACTGCCCCCCCTGGAGTCTGCGGCCTGAAGTCAGAGAAGGGAGGCTGCGTAAAGCCAAACACGAAGGAGTCATTGCACCTCTCCTGCCATCCCCCTAACCCTCAGCATCAGTAGGCAGCTTAAAAAGAAAGCAGGTAGGATCATAAATATTCAGGGGACAAGGGACTCTCCTCCCTGCAGGCAGGCTGCTACTCCCCAGCTGATGCTGCAGAGCACGAGGGGCAGTGCTTCACACCACCACGAAGGACAGAGGCTTTCTGCCACCCGCAAACCCAGGCTCCCGGCCGTCCAGGCACCGAACCTGTCGGAGCCTGCCACTGCTCCCTTCCAGCCCATCTGCCCGGTCCTTGGCACGGAAACCTGGCACAGGAGGGAGGGAGTACAACCAGTTCACGTCCTGGCACAGAGCTGGGAAGCCCTCCCAGGCTGCCTGGGACAGATACAGCCAATTGCTTCCAAGCAAGCTTGGAAATGAACTGGCAACCCCAGAGTAAAAAGCCCCAGAGACCTTAACAAAGGCTACTGTGCTTTTAGACAGACGTGCACCAAAACACAAACCCTTGCATCTTTTCTCAGGTACGTATCAGCCTTCGTCCCGCCATTAATTTCCTTCCTCCTCTTCTTCCACCTCTCAGAGCAAGGGCTGAATTACAGTCCCATACTCTGACAATGTGAATTTAGCCCCTGGCAATTACATCTGATAAGCCTTGTCCTTACCTTGCAGAGAGCAATTCTGTGTTACTGCATATTCCTCCACCCCCCCCCCTTTTTTTTCCCCCCCCTAACATGCCAGCTGGAGGCTTGTGAGCAGGGTATTAGGGGATTTGCACTGCATGCTGCTAAATTTGATATGTCCTTTAACAGGAGACAAATGGTTCACAAGGCTTAAAAAGTATCGACTTTTCTTTAACAATAAGCACTAATGGCCTTCAAATAATCAATATTTAAAGTCATTATGGGGTTACACATTATACTGTTAAAACCAAGCCTTTCACTTTAACCCCATCATATCCTCCCAAGCCCAGAGCAGCGCTCCCCCCTGACTCACTCCGAGCTCAAAAGGAAGGCTCGGAGCACAGGCTGTGACTGGAGATGTGAGAGGGTCAGGAAATGCAGATTGAAACCGGCAAGGCATGGAAATAAATTTAGAACGGATGGGAGAGGGGGAAAAAAAGAACGCATGAAAGCTCTGCTTTCTTCTGCTTTGCATTTGATAGGAAGAGACACTTTAAACCTGAGGTAATAGGCAAGCAGCACACAGCTCCTTGCTGGTTCGCCATCCGCAGACACTGTCTGTGCCAGGAAGGGAAAATAAATAAAATGAAAGGGCTTTCTAAAAATGGTGTTTGGGATTTCCAGGCAGAAGGAGACACATACTGGCACTGCCCTTCTAGGGCAGCAACCAGGCGTGGACACAGAGAGGGTCTGGTTTATGGCTGCCAGGGGAAATCGCTCTCTCAAAATCCAAACTGCTGCTAAAACCAAATTAGTTAAATCGGGTCAAGCTCTTTGGCCTTTGCTCTGCGTAACATTCAGCCAGCTGGGATCGGGTAAGGAGCCCTCCCAGTGCAAAAAATTGGAGAATGAGCGATACAGCATTCAGAGTAGAGTGGGATGAGAGGCTGGGGAAGGTAAGAGTAGGAGAGAGGAGAATGTGCCCAAGGAGCCCAGGAGAGAAAAGGAAAGCCTGTATGATGCAAGGGGGAGGAAGTAGGTGGCGAAAGAAAAAATGATAGCAACAGCAGATGGAAAGAACCCAATCCAAAAATCCTTACTGGGTATTTCAGGCACATCTTTGCACAGAGAAAGGCCTCTGGCTGATGCACAATGTTTGTCAGCTCTCTGCAACGGAAGGGCAATGCGTGCATCTTTGAGACCCTGCGGCTCCCGCTCCCAGAACATTCTAGCCAAAGGGCTCAGCTTCCCAGGACCCCAGCAGATCAGGATGCTGATGGCATCTCAGGCAGGCAGTATTTCTTGCTCTTTGGCATTCCTCCTGCCTTCACCCCATAATTGTCTATGGTCCGGGAAGATGCACTGTGTCCCTGATGCTTCTTATAGACAGTACCAGACAGTTGGATGCTATTACCAAAGTATCTGCCTCAACACTTGCCCTTTCTCCGACTATAATCCGCCTTCTCCCCCCGCTGCGAGAGGGGCAGGTTCTCGCACACAGACCCCATGCCATATACTGTACCCATGTGAAGAAGCTCCTAGAAACTCGTAACACCAAACTGATGCATCATACTAAGCCCACCACACCAATCACACTGTCAGGCAGCTCATCCAGCCTAGTCTGAGCACCTGCGCAATGCCTTCCATCGGCAGGGTATAAAAGATTTTCCCTAAAGTGGGGTGACGGCATGCGTTCCCTGCGCCTCACACACACCAGCCCGCTCTGTGAGAAGCTGTCTGCTCAGTTCAAAGTCGAGAGTATAGTAAGGAGCAAGTTCTGCAGCACATACCAGGAGATGAGCACCTCAGGTAAGAACACACCAGGCCAAATGACCCCAGTAAAACCAAGTACATTGCCAACAAATTTTGGAGACAGGATCCAAGGAGTAGGATCCAAGCAGCTCTGCATCTCAGCAGGGTGCAGCCACCTGCCAGTTTTGCAGGAGACACAGCACTTTGGAGATGGGAAGTACTCCAGGCTGGAGTAGTTACAGTGACACCTTTTAGTTGTATACCCCTTTCCTCTTCCAAGTCTTTTTATAACACTGAACTCAAAAATCTTTTCAAACAACCCGCCAGGTCCTGACACGCTATAATCCAAGTCTGAATCAATCTAGAGAAGGATCTGGGAAACCAAAACCATGAAACCAAACGGATTCTCAAGCCTACAGCTTGAGTCTGCTTTTGGCAAGGCATACCAGTTCTACTAATCCTTTTTGACAATGATGAGGAAGCTGGAGCAAAGAGATGATGGGACCACCTCTCTGCTAAAAGGACCTTGGAACCTCGTCCAAGAAAATCCGTATTCGGTGTGTCTGCGTGCACACATGTGTGTATCATCCCCTTCAGAGCCAGAACCCAGCTGCCTGCCTTGTGCTTAGTGACACTAAACCTACCAGCCTGTGTTTGACCAGCAAGGATGGATGACATGTCTGGACATACCTGTCTTCCCAAGTGTTCCCTAGCTCAGGCTCATCACCCCCCTCTTCACACCTGGAAACTGGAAAACTACATATATAGTTCCCACTACCAGGCGAAGATCTCCACATTCCTGTCATTGCAAAAATAGCAGCACCGCCCCGATAAATAAAACCGGGTCACCAGTATTGGTTTTTCCCCCCTTGCTTTCCCAGACATAATGGCTGAAGTCTGGAGCGGCTAATTATTCTTGCCCACAAAGCTGCTGCACTTGAGAGCTGACCTGATCCCCACAGATCCCCCGAAAGGAAGCTGAAATGGAATTTTAACACCATGCCAAACAGTTCACATCCCCCTGCATCATACGTTATTACTTCTGCTCCTGGGAAAGGAGATGCTGTAAATCTACCTACAGTTTGCCTACGTACGTGAGCCAGCTCCCTCCATCGCCTTCTCCTCTGTCAGTGCCTACCTGAACCTTTTACAATTTCTATACCTTCATAATAAAGGTGTACAGAGGATGCTTTGATTTACCCTGTTGACAAAGACCATGGCAGCCAAGTACAAAACCCAAGGCTAACAGCAACAGGGAGAATGGAAGGGAGAAATTAACCCATACGGTGTTTTACTGCTGTGCAATACGTGGCCACGGCTCCTCCTGGCATACCTAAAACCACCCATGGTGTTTTGGCAAAACAGCAAGAAACAGTTTGCATGTGACAGCTCCAACCAGGCCACTTCTGAGAGGGAGTACAGTGACAAATGCCGACCCTTAGTGACACTCAGGTGGCTGCAGAGCTCTGGGGAGAAATAACGATGATGCGAACTAACATCAAGCAGACTTACCAAGTCATGACTATGGGGCAGAGCTGTAGCTTTCCGTTTCCCAGCAGGACTTCCTAATGATGCTAACTGAGGATTATCACACCGGAGAGGCTGGCCAAGGAGGCAGCCCACACAGGGCCTTCTCACACCCTCCTTGTGGGAGCAGACAGCTGCAGAAAAAACAGGCAGTCTGGTCTGCCTTGCCTTGGCATGGCGCTAAAAGGAAGCATGGGACATGCCCAGCCCCAGCCAGGCCCACCATGGTGACATTCCACATGGTTTGTCTCAAAGCTCCTTGGAGAACAGCTGGTCAGGTCTGAGGCGGGAGCAGTGTGGGAAAACAAAACCAGGGCTGATAACGTGCTATGAGCCTTGCTTCAGCCTGCAAACTCTCGGGCAGAAAGGAGACTACAGACCACACAGCACAGAGAAAAAGACAGTTTCTTTGTTTCGTTCCCACCAAACACAGCCACAGGCTGGTCTTGCTTATAGGCAAACAACTAGACCTTTACAAGTGGGGGCAAATATCCTTGCTCCACGCAAGATGCCACATTATACTGCTCTTTGAACTGAGGTGCTCAAAGGCCTTCCCAAACATTGAGTACAACCTGCTTTCAAAATGCGAACCACTGTCACCGTGCAGTAAGAGAAACTGAAACAGAGTGACTCCTGCCAACTTAATCCAAGGGTTCCACAGATATTTCTCTCAATGTCAAAGGCAGGTTGTGTTCCTTTCCCCCCTCACCTTGCCAGGATTTCCCTCTCACTTATGCCAATACAACTATTCATAGGGCTACTTGGAGAACCGAATCAAGATGTAAAATAGTGGTCTTTTCTAACTGTCGCTCCTGGCCTTCAGTCTCTGTCTGCTGAGCTGGCGAGTAACTTCTCTCTCCCTCCCATAACTGGGGAGGAACACCGCCCCTAATTCCAGTACTCTGTTTAAACTGCTAGATAACACCCTCTTCCCAAACGATTTAACGCTTCCTGGCCCAGCCCAGCTCCATTAGCTAGAACACCTGTCTGGCAGCGGCAAGTACCTCTGGATATGATACATATCTAATTCATTTTCAGTTTGCTCCTCCTGTGTGCACCACCTCCCCATAACCAACCTCCACCCTTCCGTACATGCCTTTTCAGCCAGGCCTCCGGCTGGCCTGGCGCTTCTCCAGCCCACACATAGCTGAAGAACTTTTCCCGATGACTGGCTGCACTCAAACTCGTCTATCTCTGCATTCCTCACAGGTCTGCCTACGATCCACACGGACTTGGGTTGGATTTTATTTGGTGGGTTAGCCAAAGTACACCCTGCAGGAGAAAGGTTTACCAGCACTGCCCAGCCCCTCCACATTGCAAACCCATCGGTGAGAAAGAAGGAAAAACAGACAGGATCTCCAAGGCTATAAACCTGGGGGGATAACTTTGAACTCAACACATGCGTACACGTGTTATAGAACTAATATTACAGCCTGCTGCCTGCCCCCACCCCAAGATGAAAGCCAAAAAAAGTTGAGATACTGGAGCCTTTCATGGCTTGTCCCGTGATACCCAAAGCCTTTGCATCCCCGTGGCTGCCAGGCCCTCTCCCGCCTCTGCGATCCTTGTCAGAAACGCATGCAGCCCTAATTTAATTTCCTTCTGAAGTTCTTGATTGCAGAGGGAATGGTTTATGGCACAGAGCAAGATAAATGAGCTAGAATTTGGGGGGGGAGAAGGGAAGGGGGGAGAGAGGGAAATTGGCTTTCTAGCACTCCTATCAGTGATAAAGCCATAACTCCTTCTTCCTCAAAAAAGAAAATTTCTTCTCTTTCTATTCCATGCTAGAGAATTCATTCTCTCTCATTATCTTGGGATGCTATAAAATGCAAAACTTAAACACCTTCACTTGCTCCGTGCCGAAGAACAGGTAAGAGCCTGGCATCTGCTCTGGAGGTCCAAGGCAGGACTGGGATGGCTCCCACCTCCCAGCCAGTCACCAACCTGGGTGTGAATGCCTGTGTGCACCAGCACAAACCACCTCTGCGCACAGACACCCCAGCGTGTGGCAGGTACGCCTGCAAAACTGCGCTTCTGCACCTGCGTGACGCCCGAGGGAGAGGTTAGCGCTTCAACGGGGCAAATCACACCTGCCCCCCCCC